ACGCTGGTATTCTATATTCAATGGAACAGAAGTTGCCTTCGGAAGTTGTGGGAGCGTCATCGCTTGAGACCTTCAAGAAGAGACTGGACTGCCATCGATCAGAAATGGTGTAGGCTCTCCCACTTGGGCAGGGGGTTGGACTAGATGACCTATAAGGTCCCTTCCAACTCTGATTATCTGTTATACGTTATCTGAAGTTCCATCTTTTCTTGGATGACTGAATCCCTTTCCACAAATAATGAATGGATCCAAATCTTGAACTTGAGTCGTTAGTGGGGTTAGTCCTTGGAAGGCTGGAGAATAATTGGCCCCTTTTCTATGAAGCCATTCTGGGCCAACGGGTCTCCAATCTCTTCTTTAAAACCTCCAGTGTTGAAATGCCCAAAACTTGCACGGATTCATTGTTCATTCACTGTCAGGAAGTTTCTGCTTGGATCTACAATGGATCTCTTCTATCAAAGAAAGATCCAAAATGTTCACGGGACCATTGCTCCCGAACGCTTGGCATGCCAACTATTTTGTTCTACTGCTGCACCGTGACTCTGCCTGGGACCTAACAGAACAGAAAAGAATAACAGAGTTGGAAGGGACCTTGGGAGGTCTTCTAGTCCAACCCCCCCTGCTTAAGCAAAAGATCCCATACTTACCTACTCTGACCTGGGAGACGGTCATGGCTCACAAGGAGGCTGGTTCTGGCACTATGTCAAGTGCAAGGGTTTCATTCCTTTCTCCAAGGAATTCAGCTCGGCACGTGGTGATACAGAATCCCGGGGACCATATATTTCTTTTGAAAAAGGGAAATGTGGCCACTCTCAGCTAGAGGGGGTGGGGAAATATACCTCCATCCAACTCTTTGAGCAATTAAACACAGCTCTGTTTATACTCAGGCCTCTGAATTCCTTTGAAATTCACGATACCTTCCAATTTGTGGTTTGAAATGTCTCATTTTCTTTCGTTCTTGGCACCGAGGGCTTTTTTGGCACAGAGGTTACACTGTGGTCTTGCTTTCATAGGCTGTTCTGTAAAAAAAAGAAAAGAAAAAGGCGGTTTCTTTTGCCGATTCCTTTTCTTTAGCTACCTCTCTAGGTTGCTTGGCTGGTTGGGAACACATCCCAAGAAAGGAACTTATTTTTTTTTCTTTTTTAAAAAATGTCAAAGACAAAAGACAAAGACCAAATAAGTTTGCGGATAGACCTGATGTTTGAGTTCCCTCGCATTCTTCTTCGGGTCAAGAACCTGCCAGCTTTTGGGTAGTTGACTTGTGGCCTTCTGTAACCCATATCTTGGCTGGGCTAATGGTGTATTATGTAAACATGGCTTCTGCAAATAATGGGTTTGAAACTGCATTTAGGTTCTCTCACGTTGTTCATCAGTGGTGGGATTCAAAAATTTTACTACTGGTTCTGTGGGCATGGCTTGGTGGGTGTGGTGCAGTTTGGTGGGTGTGGCAGGGGAAAACCCCCATTCCCTCCCCATTCCTGGGGGAAAGTTATTGCAAAATTCCCCTCCCCACCCCACTAACCTGCTTTCCAGCTCTGTTCTCCTGGGCAGGGCAACCAAGGGAGACCCAGCCAATCAGCTGGGACTCAGTGGGAGGCAGAGAATAGACTGGCGGGGCCAGTCAGAGGTGGGATTCGCTGGTTCTCCAAACTACTCAAAATTTCCACTACTGGTTCTGTAGAACTGGTCCGAACCCGCTGAATACTACCTCTGCCATTCATACACCCAGCCCAATGTTTCTGGCAGTGACTTACCAGCATTTACCCCAAAGAGTAGATCAGTTCTTTAAGTTTACTACAACTACTACCTCAACTTGTAACTCAAGGTAGCAACCATAACTTTAATGCCTGTCCTTCAGATGAATTTCATTGGCCTAGATTCAGCAGCCAACACCAGATCCTAATCCTTATCTTTCATGGATGGGCTGGGTCTTATAGGACCACCCATATCCTCAGAAAATAGACATGAGAGAGGACATCTCCAGTGCTGAGCTGGGAAGTGTCCCCATTCCTTAGCATTCTTCAGCCAAGAAAGGCTGACATGGTGGATCTCATACTTAGAGACATGGGCTGGAGGTTACCAGCAAGTGGATTTTTTTCTAACTAGCCACCTATCCTCAGCCAAAACACCTATTTTGGGAAAGACCAAGTCTCCTGCCATTGGCCATTCTCAAGACTTGTTGCAAAAGCGTGCGTTGTTGTAAAAGCGAATGGGTTGACCCCGATCCCCCACTTTTCCCATGGAAAGCTTCTTTGGGTGGGATG